ATATATAAATAACGTGATTATATCTAAGTCCATTGATGATATATATATATATATATATATCGAATTGACGTCGATTGACAAGTTACTAATGACATTTACTGACTGAAAAAGTCGCCTTATTTTTATGTCTTCTTATTATGTCTTCTTATTAGAGGAGGAATTCATCATGAGATAAGAAGATGCCAAAGATAAGGTGGCAGTCTTTTCTCATTTTTAAATAAAATGATCTAACATTAGTTTATTTTATCTCGTTTGTATCAACGAAATTTGGTTGCAAACATTATTTTGTAATTATATATAACTAGTATCAGTGACTAATCGAAATTTAACCTCATATTTATTATATATTAGGTCGAATCGACTATAAATTTCGACCTTTAATAGACTGCTACAATCGATATTGATTCGACATCGATTCGACTTTGATTCGACTTTTCATTTCTGGCTGTGAAATCATATCCATTAGATGTCATTTTGTGACGACAAAAATAGAACTATACAATAGAAAATAAAATTACTTATTATTTAATATCCACTTATCTAGGATTTATCTATTAAAATTGGTGAATTAATGGATTTATCTTTCGATTAGTTTTATAAGGATGAGATTTGAAAGCAATATACGATATTTATATTAACTACAACGAAAGCGAATATGCATCACGTCAAATTGAGATGCTCAAACAGTTAAAAGAAGATTTATACTAACATTTTTATGAAATAACTAATTTGAAAGATCCTAAGTTCGACGATATTATAATTCTTGCAATGTTTTTTACCTATATGATTTATATAAACAGACCATGGAAGAGGTCGATAGAATATGCTTTTGTAAACGAATCGTATATCACACAAAGTATGATATTGATAAAAGACAAAGAACTGAATTGTAAAATTATTCTTGTAGCCATGGCTAATTTTCTAGAATCTAGTTACATTTATTTAAGCTTAAAAACCTTAAGATATATTTACAAAATGCACATAAAATTTTTGATATATATTTCGTATATACAAAGGCGAAGATGAGTTTCCTGCTCCCATCGATATTTTAGTTTTTCTGGGTATTGCAGATGAATCACATACGATAATGGAATTGCACGTATTGTATTTGATTAATTTACGTCAGTTAATCAACTTGAGGGACAATTTCAAATATAGACAGATAGATTTCGAAAAAATAGCAATATATAAGCATAAGTTATTGAAGAAGCTAATGAAAACGGTACCGTTATATATAGACCACGTTACATGGACCTACGAAGTAATGCATTTAGCCGAATACTTTATGTCTTGCGATCACTTTAATAAATTTAAAAATCATCTTTACGCTGCGTCTGTTATGATAAGATTTAACGATGAAGTATGTATGAAGGATAACGCAGAAATATCCACGAAAGATAAGTATCTCCAATATGACTATTTTAAAAGCATTTGTTCTGTTACTGAAATGATTTGGGTGAGATATGGACTTGTTAATCTGTATTTATCAGGAAAACGACTGCAACAAAAGAAAGATAAAAATAATCTTTGTGAAGAAGATAGATAGATAGATAAGACGGAACTTGTTTCTCCGATTCTCTCCAACATGTTTTCACGGAAGCCCATTGTATCGGCACGTAGTTTATTAAACTGGAGGCACTTCGAAGCCCTTCTCCATCCGTGTGAGGTACATCTTCCGGCATTCCATGTTATCGGCCGGTCTGTTGTGCGGCAGCCAAACCGGCTCCCCCACAAAATATCTCTTTGCTTTTACGTAATTCTAAAATGAATGACAAACAAATTATGTTCCACGTGTGTCCCCTATATTTTAAGAAATTATTTGTAATATTTATAAATTATTCGTTTTACAATCTTTTGATTCTTTAAGAATGAAAATATCACATTTTTAAAAACGTCATAAGTAATTTATAGAAAAGTGATATGAATAATTTATAATTTAAAAAACGAAAAAAACTTTAGAGAATCTACTTGATCTTTTTTACTTTAAAGATCGTAAGTCCCGGTCTATAGTAAATGTTTTAAGCCTTAAGAAGTTAACCAATCACAGTCGAATGTAAGGAGAATAATCAATCTGTGATCGATAAATTTTTTAAAGTTTAGGGTTTAAAGCACCTATTGTAGGTGGAGGCTAAGAGAAAGGAATGTATTTGTGAGCATTGAAATCTTACATCAGAGTCCAGAGTAAAACGGTGGTAGATTCCACTCGGTATAATTATCAGATCGCCGGCTTTCACTTCAATTCGAATCCATTGATCGTCCTTATCCCGTACGTCGAAGTAACCTGATCCGTCCAAAACCAGACGGATCTCTTCGTCGGTGTGAAGGTATTCGATATAGAAATTCTTTACCTGAAACGAATAAGTTGAATTTTGAAGAAAACTAATGATTGGAGATATCAGAGATTTGTAAAGCCATCTAAAACATGTGATTATTTCATTTGATATAAAAAAATAATTATTTTATATGTCATGAGAGATGAGAATCGCACACTAACTATAATCATTGAGTTTAACTGGACATTAATTTTATCTTTCGTACCTTCTCGTAATTTTGTAAGCACTCTTTGGAGCACGTTATCTCATCTTCGTATGTATAAGAGCGATCCTGTCGTAATTTTATTAAAATATCATCCTTTTCGTAATTCAGATGATCTACCTGAAAGACAATTATTTTAACATTATAAAAAAGTTTAAAAACTTTCAAAGTTATGTCTGTATAAGATTGTTCCTTATTTTAACAAAAATGAGTCGAATATTTGAATGTAATTGTTTTAAGAGGAACAACACTTTGAAATTCGAGAAAAAGTGTGGTTTTGTGATTATTTTTGAGATGCATACTTTGTTGAATTTTGGCTCAAATTAGACCTTTTAATTTTTAAATAATACAAATCAATAACGGATCAGATCTTATTTTCAAGTCTCTATTCAATGACATGTTTTTATTCTTAAACAGAACGATCTGACGGCAGATTAGATGCATTTCTTTTATACTAGATATATTATTAGGTGAGCAAAAAAGTTCTAAGCTGTTTTTTGTAGAATTCAATCTTTATTCAAAAACAAACAAAAAAATATTAATCAGCGAAATATTCTTCGTTTGCATCAATGACCTTTTGCCATCTTTCTGGTAGCTTGCGAACTCTTTGACGATGGAAGCTCACCGGCTTCGAAGCGATAAAGTCATCAACGCATTTTCGTATCTCTTAAAATCTCACGAAATGTGTATCAGCCAAGTGATGCTGCAGCGACCGGAATGGGTAATAATCGGAAGGCGCCATGTCTGGGCTATACACCGCGTGCGGGAGGAGTTCCCAGCTTAAGATATGGTCCTGAGTGGCTTTCGCAACATGTGGTCGGGCATTGTCATGAAGCAGGATCACTTTACAACTTCCTTGGCCGGTAAATTGCCTCTTTTCTTCCAACGCATCGCTCAAATTGGTCAATTGTTGTTGGTAGTGGTCTGCCGTAATTGTTTTATCCGGTTGTAACAAGTCGTAATACAACACACCTTTCCAATCCCACTAGATGCAGAGCAAAAAACCTTCTTGGCGTGAATATTGGGCTTTGGTGTCTACGTCGAAGGGTTAATCCATGATTTTCTACGCTTAGGGTTATAAAAAATCCACTTTTCATCGCCATGATTTTGTGCAGAAAATCTTTTTTCCGGAAAGCAAAATGAGTGCAGTGTCACGCCGTCGATTTTTGTTGTCTTCAGACAGTTTATGCGGAACCTATCTGCCTTCCTTCTGAACCTTTCCCATTATATGTAAACGTACGAAAATGGCTTGCCGCGTAACCCCAAGCTGTTCTACAGGTTCCTTTTCAGTTTGCGCAGAGTTCATATCTAGCGATGCTTGCAATTCGTCTGTTTAAAACTTTTGAAGGCGTCCAGCACGCGGTTCATCTTCAAGAATGAAATCTCCTTGGCGAAATTTTTAATACCATCTTTTACACGTTGCATGACTTACAGCATACTCTCCATATGCAGCACAAATAATTTCAGTGGCTTCAGCAGCATTTTTCTTCAGACGAAACGCGAAATGGATGGAAAATCGAATATGTTCTTTTGTTATTGCCATCGTGAACATTATTGATTTTTGAAGTTATGTGCATCAAACGCCAAGGCATTTTAGAAGATCAAATGTCAACGCTTTGAAACCGCAAAAGGGTGGGAAGATAAAATTTAAATTGTTGTTTCGGTTGTATGAAATCTGAAGTTTAAAAAATTTTGCTCACCTAATAAAATATTATTTGTGATTAGATCAAATTAACAGAATAGAGGATAACTTTACGTAATCGCAAAAAATAGATCAAATTGAACAAGCTGAAGAGCTTCGATGAAAATTATATTTATATCTCATTATTATATTTTATTTATTAGTAGTATTTTTTTATTATACTTTATTTCACTCATCATTATTAGCAATATTACTATACTTTATATTTTTTTTCAATTATTATCTTTAATTTCATCCAATCACCATTGTTTTCACGACAGTTACAAAACTTGCGTTTTATCGAGCCGAGCGCACATGCATCGGTGTGAAAGGTTCATCTGAAAAGAACAAACCTCGCGTGCGAAAAACACTTCGCCATTGAACGAGCTTTGCCAGTGGTGTTGGGGCGATACAAAGCCGACAGGCTGCCTGCCACTAGAAATGCAGGAAGGAAGGAAGGACGGAAGGAAGGAGCGGGATTGCGACTTGCGATCGGGCACTCAAGGTCAATCAAGAGTCAGTCAGTCATGAGTCACGAGTGTCAAGGGGAAGTCGGCTTTCCAAACCCGGAAAATGACACCATGATCGAGGGAGCCACATGAAATATTGGCGCGATTACGAAAAATTCGCCGACGAATCGGCGAACTTTCCTTCGGGGAGACCGTCTAACCCTAAAATACTCCACGCCTGTCTTTGCGAAGAGCTCGTCCAGCGGCACGAACTCCGCGGGCTTCCGGTGATGCTCCGACCGTTGATCGGCATCGCTGTCGTCCATGTACCAGGCTCGCATCATGATTCTCGAACGAGACACGAGACGTCCGAAACGAACTCGTGCGATCAGCTCGACTCCCTGACTAACCTCTGCGGAACTGCGCGTGGCGCGCGAGATCTGACGTAATCTCCAATAACCGGCCTGGCGGCAGACTCCTCGGCGATAATGCTCGACGATAACGGAAAACGGTGTGTTTATCAACATGTTTTTTTTTTGCTTTGTAGTCGTAGACAGACAAACTTTAAATTTACTTTGCACGTATTTGGAATAGAACGTGGCGAAGAGAGAAAAAGAGAAGTTCCCTCGGATTCATAAGTACAGAGACGTATCGTGGATAAGTTCTTTCTAGTCCATCAGTGCATTAACTTGTCGTTATTAATTGTCAGATCTCTGACCTCATTTCAGTTGAACTGGCTAATACCTTTCACCTTTGTGATAATATAAAAGCTAGCATTGAAGGGCAAAAAATATATTTTTCTCGTAGTTTTCTGGTAGCTTTCTATTAATTCAGCTGAAGAGAACAGATGTATTATTGAGAATGTATGTATGTGTGTTGTTAATCATGTTTTAATCAGCAACTGACAGTCCAATTTATTCCTTCAGCTGTGTCGAGCCAAAGCCTGCCAGTGCGGCTCGTCCAAGCAAAATGGTTGAAATGCAGCAACGCTTCAGCTCATTGCCAGGACTGATTTCGGACATGCAGAAGTTGCTCATGATGAACGATCAGCTATGTGGGCCATTGAAGATTTTCCAGTCACGAGCAACTACAGAGACCTCCAACAGCATCGATCAAATCGTACATGGCATTCTCGAGATATACAACACATGCAACATACTGCCAGTGCACGAGCAGGGAAAGTTCAAGATACATGTCGACCCGAAGACTGATGTACCAGTTATTACAGTAAGTTTTTTTGTCTTTTCTTCAGCGTGCTGATTTTACAGGGTTTGGGAAGTTACTCTTGAAAAGTAACTCGCGTTACTCCCGCTTGTTTTAAAAAATAACTCATCACTGTTATTCAAAAAGTAACAAATCATTACATGATTTCCATTGTTTCCTTCTTCACCAGGTTTCGAAGTTTTCTTTGTTTTTGATTTACTACTACCGATCCTATGTAGATGTCTCTTACATACTACTACAAAGTAACAGTAAATAATGATTATTTTCTTTATTATTACCATTATTGTTACTGGCAGTAACAATAACATAATAATTAACACAAAAATATAAAGTATAAATTAAATGACATGAAAAATGACAAATGAAATTAAGAAAATATTAAATAAATATGAAACGATTTCTACAGAATTAATTCTGTTTAAATTATATTAAATAAATTAATTTAAAAAAAGCGGCGAAGAGAAAAAGTAACATGCAACGGTGATGGTTTTACAAGTGACGCGTTATTTTGCAACTCTGGTGGATTAAACCATGTGTTGTTAGTTTCATTGACAGTTTAATCGTCAGAAACTGAACGAGGGGACTAAAAATGCATAAGTCGACGATCTGCGACCGCTATGGTGCAGAGTCCCTTCGCGAGATATGGCTCACATGTTCACCCCGTAGGTGTCGGAGGCCACTTACGGGGTAGGTCCGTCAGGCAGCAGCGAGAACGGAAGGGAACAATATGGAATATAGTGATAACGATATCCCACTGCTTTCCAGAGTATCCAGGTGATGCTGTTGAACACCAATTTCTCCTCACAATATCGTCTGGCGGAAGATACGTTACACGGTCATCAAGTGGGCTTGTGGCCGATCATGTCGCCGTATCTGTTCATTCAGATAGTCTGGGGCCTACACTGCGAGGAGCTGCTGCCGAGATTCGTGCTTTACGTGCCGCTGGAGCTGTCCATCGAGATCCTCTCCGCGATTATACCATGTTTGGCGCAGCTTGGATTCGAGCGAGCCGTGAATCTCGTGACACAGCTTGTTAATTACATGTACAAATTCATCTACAAACTAGCCGTCACTGGCACGCAGGTAGAGCCGTGCGAAGAATACATGAACCAGTTGCAGGCGAATTTCCAAGAGTTGTTAGACCAGCTGTCCAATCCGAGAGTGACACGTTTGCCCGACCTGTCCGAACAGTTGAGGTAAACGGCTCTCGTCTATTTCCTTAGCGGAACACTGAGGTTCCATAAAGCCTTAACATTATCTGCCCCATCAATACTCACCAGTCTTCTCAATCGTTCGCATTGTCTTTTCATTAAAACCGCAAGAGGTTTCATTGTCAGCATTAAAAACATGATATCGGAAGTTGTTTTTATATTTGCAACATATATAAATAATGCTAATTTTGACTTCAATTATCTCAGCTTCGGTAGAGTCAAATTGTTTCTAATTTTACAGATTTGTAAATTGTGCTTCGATGAATGTTGTTAAAGTTGGAAAAGATTTCTAAGAAAGTAGATTTAAGGACCAACTCTTTACCAAGACTCTATCGAAACTCAGTGTACATTACTGGACGTTATGTTGTCTCACGTTGCTCGATCCCTCCTGGACAATCTGAGATTTTATGCATTCGATTTGGCATTCTCAGAACTACTGGAGCTGCTCGGTTGTTCAAAGATTCTGTGCTAATTCGCATTCCCATTCGTCGGCAGGTACGAGCATCAAGGGATCATTCTGAAGAACATCGTTCGCATGAACAAGCTGTGCGCAACAGAGAGGATAAACGGCGGCGTGCTGGACGGTTGTGAGAAATTCTACGCGCTCACATTCGGCAATGAAATGTACCTGAAACTACCAGCCAAGCAGCTGCAGTCCTGTATCAACGAGATGGACCAGTCTCTGATAACGCTGTTGATAAATCACTTGAAAGAGGTGAATTGCCACATGTACCTCGCCTGGGCTGAGACGGACGACCGTGAGAATTCATTGTTGAGCCTGCAGCGCGCAATTATCACCGAGTGCGTTTACTTCGGGAAAGTCGTACAGACGGACGCGAAGCTGCAGGAGGACCAAGAGCTACGGACGTGTCTGGATCAGCTAATAGGATCGCATAAGCAGCCGCAGCTGACGCTGGAGGAGATCTACAACGGGGTGCAGTCGGGCCAGCTGACAAATCTGAAGGAGCTTCTGCAGCGTTACCAAGAATGGGACGAGTCGACGTTGGAGTTCGTCAATGCGTGGCAATCGCTGCTGCTGACCGAGGATTTCCTGGTGTTATTTCGCTATTTGAAGCACACGTTTTCGGTGAATCGTTACACTCATCAGCAGAAAGTGTATCTCCAGCGCATGGTTATGGAGATAATACTGAAGCGCAGCGTGAGGGACCTCTACGACATCACGCTGTTGTACATACTGCACCATTACCATGACCATTTCCTGATGAATCTGTACGATCTGTACGATCTGCACGGCTTCTACCGGCTGATGCAACAGTCGACGTGGGACAACTTAGTCTTCCTTAAGAGCCTGTTGATACACATGCTGCATAGTCCCAAACATGTGTTGACGGCTCTGATCCACACGGCCGTCGACGTCAGCAACAGTTACATGTGCACGCCGAAGCAACTTTTGATATTGCGGCCCTTCCTGTGCATAAAGATGCCGAACGATACGACATTATTGACGGAGATACTGTATCAGATGTGCATGGACGCACATCCTTGGGAGCCGAGGAAGTACGTGAGCCTGATCGTTACGATGTTGAAGGTCTCTGTCACCTCGCCGGAGGACATCCTGATCAACGTGTGCATCCGTTACCTGATGGAGATGCCGTACGACTGCAACGTTATGTGCATCCTCACGATTACTTGCAAGATCATCGATACTTACAGCTTAAAGGCCGGCGTGATGGAGTTGTGCCTGGTAGTGACGCGTAAGATCAGTAACTGGCGCAAGTGCGAGCCGACGAAGAAGCGTGAGAAGGTGAACGAGCTGGTGTCGCAGCTGCTGCGCGTGCTGAGGAAATGCGTGGGGAAGCAGCACCTCATGACTGTCGAGCAGAAGCGGCTGGTGTTGAACACCCTGTTGCCACACATCGAGCCGCTCGACAAGGCCGCTTTCCGACCTCTCCTGTACATGATGCAGAGGAACGTTCTCACCATCGTCGACGATTACGCGCGACGCTGCCACTCGGTGCGCGCGAAGTACAAACTGGCCCGCCGCGAGCACAGCGACATCTGGCACTTCTTGGGCAACATACAGCTGAAGAAGCAAGATTTCATCCGGCACATGCTACTGCACGCCACCGACGCGGAGTTCAGGACGAACTGCTTGGATATCACGACCAAGTACTGGTTCTTCTTCGGATGGCTCGATGAATTCGATGCTTACGACAACGTCACGCGCATCACCATGGAGGCGATACGCATCACGATCGAGTACCCAGAAGAGATGCCGTGCGACGGCTTCTCCACGCTTTTGTCAAACTGCATGCGTTTCACCCAGGTGTTCGCGGAGCATCCGAAAGCCAAGGGTCAGGCGGAAAGGATCCTGCGAGTCCTGCTGAACAATATGCATTTTGTCCTCCGCAGCACGAGGCTCACGCAACGTTGGAAGGCATTCGATGTCCTTATCAAAGAACTTGAGCTCGTCATGACTTCGAAGACAACGTCTTTGTTGGCGGTAAGGGTAGAGGCATGCGGATATATTTCGAGAAATGAAAACTCAACAAAGTTTGATAAGGTTGGAGGCGACGAATTGCAAGGCATTCTTTCGAAATTTAATTTTCCAGGAATATTGTTGGAAGCGTGCAATTGTCACATACGAAACGTCGCGATACTGAAACCAATACAACATAATACATCGAAAGACCGTATATTTGTATAATATTAATCTATAATACTCATTATTATTATTCCATAATAATACTATGCGTTATTATAATTATTTTAAATTATGTGATTTTATAATTTTTCGGGTCAATGCTCCCAATATCTTGGGAATATTTATTTTAGAAGACTATCTCGGTATGCTGACTTCGGGTTTGTCTTTTTAGAATGTTCACTCACTTTCAAATTTCGGAAGAGAGAGGGAAGAGGTATACGCTTTTTTCCCTTTTAATAATCGGAATAATGCAACGTGATCGACGGATAAACGGAATCGAGCGCATTCGGCCGCCCAGAGTCCTTCAAGTAAAAGTCTGGACATATCCGATTTTTTAATCAAAAATTAGTGTCTACTTTATCATTAGAATGTCTATTTATGTGAGTATTTACAATACATCGAGTTCAGACATTTTTCTTTATAATATATGTGATTCAATCTTATATATATATAATACTATTTATAAAAATAGGTTTTTAGTTTTTAAAACATTAATTTTTTCATTATTTTATTATTACTCGTGTTCCCCACCTTAGAATAACATTTAGCTATAAATTCTTATTAGGTTCATAGTTAAATCCCTTTATTTGGCAATCCTCGGCTCTGCATTTTCTTCATCAAGTAAGAAACTATATTAATTAATAAGAAATCGAAGACGTCCAGACTCTTGTGTGAAGGACTCTGATGTCGCTGGGTACAATGCATATAATAATGTTAATTTTATAAGATCGCATAGAATTAACATTGCGTATATAAACAATGATATTTTTAGGATTTCTTGAACGAAGTTGCCAAGTTCATCAAGGACATGATCTGCTGCATGAACGACAACCAGATTGACAACGGCTGGATGAACGACAATCAGACGAGCGACAACCAAATAAGCGACAACCAGATGAGTGACAATCAGATGAGCTACAACCAGATAAGTGATAACCAGATGAACGACGACCAGATGAGCGATAACCAAATGGACGAGGACCAGATGAGCGATAACCAGATGAACGACGACCAGATGAGCGATAACCAGATGAACGACGACCAGATGAGCGATAACCAGATGAACGACGACCAAACAACCATGAATAATGCGGCCTACGAAATTAATTTACCTAATAAAGATACTTACGGTATGTTCGATTCTTACAAGTTCATATGCGGTTGTTTTTCGGTACCAGGCACGGAGAACCATCAATTCATCGCAAAGCTGGAGGAAATAATGTTCACAGAGGACTACTGTTGTCTCAATTCTCATCCGCTTTAGTTAGAAGACTATGATCGCTGCAACTCATATGTGAAGTCCCGATGATATGATGATCTCATGATCGATCATTCGACGCGTTGGTAGACACGATTCGGACTCGGACGTACGCTTCAAATAGTATCAATATCATCCGCTCCTCCCACGGTTCGTGGATTTTCGGACACGCATCGTTCGGAAAAGAAAATCGTACTGAAATCCGAATACCGTGACGATTTGTCAAAATTTGGAAACGTTGTCCAAAAAAGTTACAATGTCAGAATCAGTACAATAAGATATTACGTCACGGAACATATCAACGTCTGATATTTTCGATTTTCAAGTGTCTAGACACGCTTCATTATTTATCTTCCGACTTATTATCGAGGAATTATTTATTTTTCTACGAGAGTCACGTTTTTTTAAGTACAACACGTAGTAGAAAAATGAATAAAAATCTACATAGAAATACAGTATAAGAGGGAAAAAGAGAGAAATGTTATTTTGGGAAGGCTGTGCTGTCAGCAGGCTGTATCGTTAGACAAGTTTCTTGATAAGAATGTCTAACGCTTTCTATCGTTGCGTGAGCCTCGTGCTCCGGTGGACAAAGTACATATTATTCAGCAGGATTCGCAGGATCCTGTCCGCCTGACACTGGCTTTCGGTTGCGCCGCGAACACCTGATTTTTCGGAATAATCACATATTTCCGATATTTTGAAAAAATATTTCAATATGTCGAAGAACGTCCCAATATTTCGGAAGATATCTCTAATATTTTGAAAATATTTTAATATTTTGAAGATACTCTAATATTAGAAATATATTGTTTCCAAGTATTTTTCTGCATTTTGCAAGATTGTCGCGGATCATCTCGATTTTGGGATTATAATTTTCCGGGAATAATCCCACTTATCGAACTTCGAGCTTCGGATTTTTCAGGACGATACGTGTCCACCGTATTCTTTCGCGTATTCTTTCCTCGGGGGAGAATCCACAAAAATGGTTAAACGAACGTACAGGTCTAAATGATCTCCAGTTATTATTTCTCTCGCAAAATGTAGACGAATATTTTCCACCACCAGCGTAGTGATCGACGATTTTTTTCGAAGTATATTTCGAAACCTCGCGGGTTGCATACAAAGTGAGTCAACGTCAAGACGTTACGAAGTGCTCGCCAAAACGATTCCTACGATGCTGAATTCAGGTTGATACCGACAGCATTTGGAACGTATACTCGATCGTTTAACAGGTTCCCCGCTATTTTTTACCGAATCGCGATTATGTTAACGAAATTTCTTCATCTACCTCCTAGCAATTAGTTAGAATATATCATAGTGTCAAGAATTAAATTATACACACATAAATGAGCAATGACGGATATCTTCGAAAACTGTGAAGATATTTGCACGAGGAGTCGAATTTTTATTTATTGAAAATACAAACTATACGGCCTTACGTTCACGCTGATGAATTCGCCTGTATCGAGCGGAGGTCGTACTGATTGCATTTTCAGCTCATTAGACCCCCGCCTGTGTCGCGTGGAATCCTCGTCTTGCAAAAAGATATGTTCGTGCAGAAACCCGACGTGTCGTCGCGCGGTTTTCCGCATACACAGACGAACGCATATGCGACAGAGAAAGTGAATGTAGAGACGAATAAGAAACGCGAAATGAAATATAAAAAGGATTTATTTGAAACGTATATGTGTGAGCGTTATACCTATATGTATAGTCTCCTCCTTAATCACAAGAATTAAGTTCCTTTTTTTCTTTTTTATCGACATCGTAGAAACCAAATTACAACTACCTAATTAGCACGATACTTTACAACACGAGAATATTATGCTCCGTACAACCTGTGTTTATAAAAAAACGTTAACGTAAACTGTTTCATTGTCCTTTTTTCTGTAAACGCGGCGAAATCAATTCGGTGCGAAACGTAACCACGCGAGATCGTTATTCGAGGCGGAATCATATTATCCGTATCTTTCGTTTCGTTTTTACTTTTCAAATCCTACTAACGCTTTCTTCTCTCTCTCTCTCTCTCTCTCTCTCTCTCTCTCTCTCTCTCTCTACTCGAGACCACGAGAGAAATGTCAATGTTCTAAAATACGACACCAAGAGAGAGTGATATCTCGAAATAACAATACCCCGAGACACGTAATTTGCCGTTTGTAGCGCTAAGCAATTAATAACAAACAACGAAATTAATAAATGACGATATTAAACGAGGAGAAAGTGATAAAATTAATTATCTCGTTGAAGTCACATTTTCACAAAATTGACAAGACACGACTCAACATGCTTAAAGAAATTATTCTTGAAGAGTTGTAGAAAATGAAACGAATGTTACTCCGAGCTCGTGTTTTCATCAGAAAAGAATTTCAGGCAGCGATATCACCGCATCCAAATTCACAGGTGTGTCTCAGTATCAAATTATTAGAGCAGTGGTATGCAGCTAATACTTCGCCGAGGGTCATAGCCCACAGAAAAATGTGGGCGACCAATCACAATCGAGTATTACCGAGATTGCAATGTGCGAAAGTCTGAGACTGGTCGCGACTCGTTTGTCGCTCCTATTTCGCTAATTCCGTTTTTTCGTGTGTATCGCCCTGAAAAGGTGACCTCCACTGGACTTCGATCGAATCAATCGACAAGCAGCCGGAAGAATTGTCAATCTCCACATCTGTACGCTTTGCCGTCCGACGACGATGATCGAAAGACTAACAATTCCTATTTATCTTAGCGGAACGCAGCAGGCGTACTTGGCTGACAAGGCGATGCGAATCGCGTCGATCGGACAGATAGAAGCCCGGTGAAAGTCACCCTTCGTCCGTTTTCACGCAGGATCGTGTCGAGAATCGGTACGACGATCAGGATGACGATCGGCTTTTGCTCGTTCGTCTCACAGACGGATAATCTAACGTGCCCTTTCCGTGCGACAGCGCCGAAATAGCCGCTCGTTATAATGGTTAGTGGATAAGTGAAGTGAGAAAAGCGGAGAGAAAGTCAGGTAAAGAAAAAAATGTGCACCAAAATTGCGATTCGTGCTGTTCCTTTTTTTCTATTCTCTTCACAAGATAATTGTCAGATGGGCAGCACCAGATTGGGACGCAGCGCATTTTAAAAAAGAAATTTTTCATCGAATTGGACAAAACGAAAAAAAGAGCGAAAGAAAGGGAGGAGGAAAACTCACGATCTGCGAGCACCTCGAGACGCAATTCGGCCATGACTAGATTCTCATGTGCTGGTATATCGAGGTAAAAGCGTGCCGAATCGCTCCATCGCTTCTATCCGTCGACTTGCGATTCGTCCGAACCGAAAGCAAGCAAACGAGCGAGCAAGAAAGAAAAAAAACGAAACAACGAATTAGTATTATGGAACGGAGATCTCTCTCTCTCTCTCTCTCTCTCTCTCTCTCTCTCTCTCTGAGGAAAAATCAGCAACGTGAATTTCCGCGTCGCGAATGGCCGAGAAATTAAATTCTAGCAGCGCCGCCCATCTGATCGATCTTCCTCCTTTTTTTTCTTCGAATTGGACGGAACGCACTTTTCTTCCTTTTTTTTGCGAACGGATTAATAAAAAAAGGAAGAAAAAAAAATGTCCGTGATCTGTTACAATGCACATCTCTCTCTCTCTCTCTGTCTCTCGCCACCGAAATAGTCACACTGTGTCGCTGTCGTCCTCTCTCCTTACGAAAGTGTCAAGATATACTCGTATGTATATATCGCAGTACACACACGTGTGTACGTATGCACATATATATATACATATTGCGACGGTATATATGTACAAGATTCTTCAGATTGTAAAAAATATAACGTACTTCGTACTCAATATCAATGCGACGCAGGTAGTGGTACTGAAAGTCCGATATACAAATATTTAAATCGTGGTGTTAAACTTGCTCTCTTTTCCGGGTGTTTTTTCTCTTTTTTTTTTCTTTTTCATCTTCTTGCAGTTCGTGAGACCGACGTCGACGCACGACGTCGTTTGCATGACAAATGGCGCACGTGCGCTCTTTCTCTCTCTCTCTCTTTCTCTCCGCCTCTCTCTGTAATCGCAAATTGTTCATACATACGATATATGTCGCATGCATTTTTGTCCGCGAGTTGCATTTTTCTTCGCAAGCTTTCGACACATGGTGGAAGATAAGCGATTCCGCGCCGCTCCTTCGCGTACGCTTCAGCGGAGTAGAGAGGGCTGGGAGGAGAAGAAGAGGAACAATTCCTTGTCCTCAAGTGATGTACACGTGATGTATACGAGAGATTGTCACGGATTATTTCATATCATTTCCAATTTAAATTCTTTGCCTTCGCGAGAGACGTTAGACTGTTTATGTTTGTTATACTGTCTCTTACATTGTTCGTCTCCTTCGAGAAGATTCTCGAAGTACATAATTGTTGACAATCGCTGCCTATATCGCTACCGACAGCGGCTCTCGATAAGGTGAGCTGGCATTTGTCCTTCAACGAACATCGACATCGTGTGTTGTTAATTATGTTTTAATCGACAACTGGCAGCCCAATTTATTCCTTCAGCTGCGTCGAGCCAAAGTCCGCCAGTGGGACTCGTCCGAACGTAATGGTTGAAATGCAGAAACGCTTCAGCTCATTGCCAGGACTGATTTCGAGCATACAGAAGTTGCTCATGATGAACGATCAGCTGCGTGGGCCATTGAAGACTTTCCTGTCACGAGCAACTGCAGAGACCTCCAACAGGATGGCACCATCGAGATATACGACTCGTGCAACATACTGCCAGTGCACGAGCAGGGAAATCTAAGATACATGTCGACCCGAAGACTGATGTACCAGTTATTACGGTAAGTTCTTTCGTCGTTTTTTCGGCACGCTGATTTTACAAGGTTTAGGAAGTTACTCTTGAAAAGTAACTCGCGTTATTTTTGCTCATTTTGAAAAATAACTCGTCACTGTTACCCAAAAAGTAACAAATTGTTACATGATTTCCATTGTTTTCTTCTTCACAAAGTTCCGAAGATTTCTTTGTTTTCGATTTACTACTACCGACCCTATGTAGATGCGTCTTACATATTACAAAGTAACAGTAAATAATGATTATTTTCTTTATTGTTACCATTATTGTCACTGGCAGTAACAATAACATAATAATCAACAAAATAATATAAAGTAGAAATTAAATGACATGAAAAATAACATATAAACTAAGAAAATATTAAATAAATATGAAATGATTTTTATTGAATTAATTCTGTTTAAATTGTATTAAATAAATTAATAAAAAAAAGCTCCGAAGAGGAAAAGTAACATGCAGTGGTAGTGGTTTTACAGGTGACGCGTTATTTTGCAACTCTGGTTAATTAATCCGTGTGTTGTTACTTTCATTGACAGTTTAATCGTCAGAAACTGAACGAGGGGACTAAAAATGCATAAGTCGACGACCTGCGACCGCTATGGTGCAAAGTCCCTTCGCGAGATATGGCTCACATGTTCACCCCGTAGATGTCGGAGGCCACTTATGGGGTAGGTCCGTCAGGCAGCAGCGAAAACGGAAGGAAACAATATGGAATATAGTGATAACGATGTCCCACTGCTTTCCAGAGTATCCAGGTGATGCTGTTGAACACCAATTTCTCCTCACAATATCGTCTGGCGGAAGATACGTTACACGGTCATCAAGTGGGCTTGTGGCCGATCATGTCGCCGTATCTGTTCATTCAGATAGTCTGGGGCCTACACTGCGAGGAGCTGCTGCCGAGATTCGTGCTTTACGTGCCGCTGGAGCTGTCCATCGAGATCCTCTCCGCGATTATACCATGTTTGGCGCAGCTTGGATTCGAGCGAGCCGTGAATCTCGTGACACAGCTTGTTAATTACATGTACAAATTCATCTACAAACTAGCCGTCACTGGCACGCAGGTAGAGCCGTGCGAAGAATACATGAACCAGTTGCAGGCGAATTTCCAAGAGTTGTTAGACCAGCTGTCCAATCCGAGAGTGACACGTTTGCCCGACCTGTCCGAACAGTTGAGGTAAACGGCTCTCGTCTATTTCCTTAGCGGAACACTGAGGTTCCATAAAGCCTTAACATTATCTGCCCCATCAATACTCACCAGTCTTCTCAATCGTTCGCATTGTCTTTTCATTAAAACCGCAAGAGGTTTCATTGTCAGCATTAAAAACATGATATCGGAAGTTGTTTTTATATTTGCAATTTATATAAATAATGCTAATTTTGACTTCAATTATCTCAGCTTCGGTAGAGTCAAACTGTTTTTAATTTTACAGATTTGTAAATTGTGTTTCGATGAATGTTTTTAAAGTTGGAAAAGATTTCTAAGAAAGTAGATTTTCGGACCAACTCTCTACCAAGACTCTATCGAAGCTCAGTGTACATTACTGGATGTTATGTTGGCTCACGTAGCTCGAAACATCCTGGACAATCTGAGATTTTATGCATTCGACACGGCATTCTCAGAACTGCTGGAGCTGCAAGGCTGTTCAAAGGTTCTGTACTAATTCGCATTCCTATTTGTCGTCAGGAACGAGCATCAAGGGATTAATCTGAAGACCATGGTTCGCATGAACAAGCTGTGCGCAACGGAGAGGATAAACGTCGGCATGCCAAACGGCTGTGAGGAATTTTACACGCTCACATCTGGCAATGAAGCGTGTCTGAAACTACCAGCCAAGCTGCTCAATCCTCTATCAATGCGATGGACAAGTATCTGATAACGCTGTTGATAAATCACTTGCAGGAGGTGAATTGCCACATGTACCTCGCCTGAGCCGAAGCAGACGATCGTGAGAATTCGTTGTTGAGCTTGCAACGCGCCATCATCACCGAGTACCGAGTTTACTTCGGGAAAGTTGTACAGATGGACGCAAAGCTGCGAGAGAACCAAAAGCTACGGACGTGTCTGGATCAGCTAATAGGGTCGCATATGCAGTCGCAGCTGACGTTGGAGGAGATCTACAACGGGGTGTAGTCGGGCCAGCTGACGAGTCTGAAGGACCTGCAGCAGCATTACCCAGAATGGGACGACTCAACGTTGGATTTTCTCAACGCGTGGCATACGCTGCTGACCGAGGATTTCCTGGTGTTCTTTCGCTATCTGAAGCACACGTTTTCGATGATGCGGCATACTCATCAGCAGAAGCTGTATCTCCAGCGCATGGTTATGGAGATAATACTGAAGTACAGCGTGAGGAACCTCTACAACATCACGCTATTGTACATACTGCACCACTACCATGACCATTTCCTAATGAATCTGTACGATCTGCACGGCTTCCACAGGCTGATGCAACAAGCGACGTGGGACCACTTGGTCTTCCTTAAAAGCCTGTTGATACACATGCTGCACAGTCCCAAACGAGTGTTGACGGTTCTGATCCACATGGCCGTCGACGTCACCGACAGTTACATGTGCATACCGAAGCAATTCTTCATATTGCGGCCTTTCCTGTGCATGAAGATGCCGGACGATATGTTACAATTAGAGAGGAGATACTGTATCAGATGTGCACGGACGCGTATCCTTGGGATCCGAGGAAGTACGTGAGCCTGATCGTTACGACGTTCCTTACCTCGCCGGAGGCCATCCTGATCAACTTGTGCATCCGTTACCTGATGGAGATACCGTACGACTGCAACGTATTGTGCATCCTCACGATTACCTGCAAGCACATCGACACCTACAGCCTCAAGGCCAGCGTGGTGGAGCTGTGCCTGGTAGTGATGCGCAAGATCAGTAACTGGCGCAAGTGCGAGCCGACGAAGAAGCGTGAGGAAGTGAACGAGGTGGTGTTGAAGCTGCTGCACGTGCTGAGAAAATGCGTGGAGAAGCGGCACCTCATGACCGTCGTGCAGAAGCGGCTGCTGTTGGACACCCCGTTCACCACACCACACATCGAGCCGCCTAATAAGGCCGCCTTCTAGCCTCTCCTCGTACCTGGTGCAGGCCAATGTTCTCATCATCGTCAACGATTACGCACGACGTTGCCACTCGATGCGCGCGAAGCACAAACTGGCCCGCCGGGAGCACACCAATATCTACCACTTCTTGAGCGACATACAGCTGAAGAAGCAGGATTTCATCCGGCATATGCTACTACACGCCACCAACGCGGAGTTCAGGACGAACTGCTTGGATATCACGATCAAGTGCTGGTTCTTTTTCGGATGGCTCGACGAATTGGATGCTTACCACAACGTCACGCGCATCACCATGGAGGCGATACGCATCACGATTGAGTACCCGGAAGACATGCTGTGCGACAGCTTCTTCACGCTGTCGTCAAACTGCATGCGTTCATCTAGGTGTTCGCAGAGCAACCGAAAGCCGAATGTCAGGTGAACAGAATCCTGCAAGTCCTGCTGTATAATATGTACATTGCCCTCCTGAGCACGAAGCTCACGCAACGGTGGAAGGCGTACGACATCCTTATCAAGGAACTTGAGCTCGCCATGACTTCGAAGACAACGTTTTTGTTGGCGATAAGGGTAGAGGCACGCAGGATATATTTCGAGATATGAAAACTCAACAAAGTTCGATACGGTCGGAGGCGACAAATTGCGAAGCAAGGTCTCGGTATCTGGACTTCAGGACTTTTTAGAATGATCACTTACTTTCAAATTTTGGGAGAAGTTGGGAAGAGGTATATGCTTTTCTTCTTTTTCTCGGAACAATGCAAGCTGATCGACGGGTAAACGGAATCGAGCGCATTCGGCCGCCCAGAGTCCTTCAAGTAAAAGTCTGAACATCTCCAATTTTTTAATAAAAAATTGTATCTACTTTATCACTAGAATGTCTATTTACGTAGGTATTTACAATACATCGAGTTCAGACATTTTTCTTTAAAATATATGTGATTCAATCTTGTATATATATAAAATACTATCTATAAAAATAGGTTTTTTATTTTTTTAAACATTAATTTTTTCATTATTTTATTATTACTCGTGTTCCCCACCTTAGAATGACATTTAGCTACAAATTCTTACTAGGTTCATAGTTAAATCCCTTTATTTGGCAATCCTCCGCTCTGCATTTTTTTTTATCAAGTAAGAATCTAAACTAATTAATAAGAAATCGAAGATGTTCAGACTCTTATGTGAAGGGCTCACAATGATATTTTCGGGATTTCTTGAACGAAGTTACCAAGTTCATCAAAGACATGATCTGCTACATGAACGATAACCAGATTAACAACGGCCAGGTGAACGACAATCAGATGAGCGACAACCATATAAGCGATAACCAGATGAGCGATAACCTGATGAACGACGACCAAACGACCATGAATAATGCGGCCAACGAAATTAATTTACCTAATAAAAATATATACGGTATGTTCGACTCTTACAAGTTCATATGCGGTTGTTTTTCGGTACCAGGCACGGATAACCATCAATTCATCTTAAAGCTGAAGGAAATAATGTTCACGGATGACTACGGTTGTCTCATTTTTCATCCGCTTTAGTTAGAAGACTATGATCGCTGCAACTCATATGTGAAGTCTCCATGATATGATGATCTCATGATCGATCATTCCACGCGTTAGTAGTAACGATTCGGACTCGCACGTACAATCCAAATAGTATCAATATCATCCACGGCTATCACGGTTCGCGCATTTTCGGTGAACACGCATCGTTCCGAAAAAGAAAACTGTACCGAAATGCGAATACCGAGACGATTTGCCAAAATTTGGAAGCGTTGTCCCAAAAAAGTTACTATGTCAGAATCAGTGCAATGAGAGATTACGTCACGGAACATATCAACGTCTGATTTTCATTATTCATAGTCGTTTGGTCGTCGTTCATCTGGTTATCGCTCATCTGCTTGTCGTTCATTTGGTTATCGCTTATCTGGCTGTCACTCATCTGGTCATTGCTCATTTGATTGTCGCTCGACTGATTGTCGTTCATCCGGCCGTTGTCAATCTGGTTATCGTTCATGTAACAGATCATGTCCTTGTTGAACTTGGCAACTTCGTTCAAGAAATCCTGAAAATACCATTGTGTATGTACGCAATGTTAATTCCATGCGATCTTATACAATTAACATTATTATATACATTGTACAGAGCGACACCAGAGACACCAGACACCTTAAGATAAGAGTCTGAACATCTTCGATTTCTTATTAATTAGTTTAGTTTCTTACTTGATAAAAAAAATGCAGAGCAGAGGATTGCCAAATAAAGGGATTTAACTTTGAACTTAGTAAGAATTTGTAGCTAAATGTCATTCTAAGGTGGGGAACACGAGTAATAATAAAATAATGAAAAAATTAATGTTTAAAAAAATAAAAAACCTATTTTTATAGATAGTATTTTATATATATACAAGATTGAATCACGTATATTCTAAAGAAAAATATCTGATCTCGTTGTATTGTAAATACCCACATAAATAGACAATGTAGTGATAAAGAAGACACTATTTTTATTTAAAATATCGGAGATGTTCAGACTTTTACTTGTAGGACTCTGGGCGGCCGAATGCGCTCGATTCCGTTTACACGTCGATCAGCTTGCATTGTTCCGAGAAAAGGGAAAAAAACGTATACCTCTTCCCTTCCTCTTCCGAAATTTGAAAGTGAGTGAACATTCTAAAAAGACAATCCCGAAGTCAGGATACCGAGATAGTCTTCTAATATAAATTTTCCCAAGATATTGGGAGCATTTCCCCGAAAAATTATAAAATCACATAATTTAAAATAATTATAATAACGCATAGTACTATTATTACGGTTACGTGTTGCTTAATAATAATAACTTAATATTTAATATTATTATGGAATAATAATAATGAGTATTATAGATTAATATTATACAAATATACTGTCTTTTGATATATTATGTTATACTGGTTTCAGCATCACAACGTTTCGTATGTAACAATTGTACGCTTCCAACGATATTCCAGGAAAATTAAATTTCGAGAGCTTACTTCGCAATTCGTCGCCTCCGACCGTATCGAACTTTGTTGATTTCTCATATCTCAAAATATATTCGCGTGCCTCTACCCTTACCGCCAACAAAAACTTTGTCTTCGAAGTCATGACGAGCTCAAGTTCCTTGATGAGGACATCGTACGCCTTCCACCGTTGCGTGAGCCTCGTGCTCCGGAGGACAAAGTACATATTGTTCAGCAGGACTCGCAGGATCCTGTCCGCCTGACACTCGGCTTTCGGATGTTCCGCGAACACCTGGGTGAAACGCATGCAGTTTAACAAAAGCGTGGAGAAGCCGTCGCACGGCATGTCTTCCGGGTACTCGATCGTGATGCGTATCGCCTCCATGGTGATGCGCGTGATGTTGTCGTAAGCGTTCAATTCGTCAAGCCATCCGAAGAAGAACCAGTACTTGGTCGTGATATCTAAGCAGTTCGTCCTGAACTCCGCGTCAGTAGCGTGTAGTATCATATGCCGGATGAAATCCTACTTCTTCAGCTGTATGTCGCTCAAGAAGTGGTAGATATTGGTGTACTCCCGGCGGGCCAGTTTCTGCTTCGTGTGCACCGAGTGGCAGCGTCGCGCGTAATCGTCGACGATGGTGAGAGCGTTGCCGTACATCATGTACAGGAGAGGCCAGAAGATGGCCTTGTCGAGCGGCTCGATGTGTGGCAACAGGGTGTTCAACACCAGTCGCTTCTGCTGGACGGTCATGAGGTGCCGCTTTTCCAAGGATTTCTTCAGCACGTGCAGCAGCTTCGACACCACCTCGTTCACATTCTCACGTTTCTTCGTCGGCTCGCACTTGCGCCAGTTAATAATCTTGCGCATCATTACCAGGCACAACTCCACCACGCCGGCCTTGAAGCTGTAAGTATCGATGATCTTGCAGGTAATCGTGAAGATGCACATAACGTTGCAGTGGTACGGCATCTCCATCAGGTAACGGATGCACACGTTGATCAGGATGTCCTCCGGCGAGGTGACGAAAGCCTTCCACATCGTAATCTCTCTCTCTGTATCTCTAATATTTTGAAAATATTCCAATATTTGAAAAACATTCTAATATTAGAAAAATATTGTTCCCAAATATTTTTTCTGCATTTTGGAAGATTGTCACGGATTGTTATGTATCATTTCCAATTTAAATTCTTTTCTTTGCCTTGGCGAGAGACATTAGACTGTTTATGTTTGTTATCTACTGCCTCTCGCATTGTTCGACTCCTTCGAGAAGATTCTCAAAGTATTGTTGACTGTCGTTGCCTATATAACCCACAGCGGCTCTCGATAAGATGAGCTGCTATTTGACTTTTAACGAACATCGACTATCCGATCACATACAAGACATCGCTCGCTATTGATCTTTTCTAAATAAACCAGCAAGAATAATAAAAAGTTCGTTAATTGGCGCTGTAACCATCTTCCTCGCAACCAGTAAAGAAAGCTAGAGGTTTTACCTCGTTTACGTCAATCGTGGACTTCCCGAGGCTACACGCAAAATCATCAGCACAGATCATTTTGATTTTGGGATTATAATTTTCCCGGAATAATCCCACTTATCGAACTTCGAGATTCAGATTTTTCGGAACAATACGTGTCCACCGTATTCTTTCGCGTATTCTTTCCTCGGGGCACAAAAATGGTTAAACGAACGTACAGGTCTAAATGATCTCCAGTTATCATTTCCCTCGCAAAATGTAGACGAATATTTTCCACCACCAGCATAGTGATCGACGATTTTTTTCGAAGTATATTTCGAAACCTCGCGGGTTGCATACAAAGTGGGTCTACGTCAAGACGTTACGAAGTGCTCGCCAAAACGATTCCTACGATGCTGAATTCAGATTGATATCGACATCATTTGGCACGATATCATTGCACTCTGCATCATTATACTTGATTGTTTGATAGGATCCCCGTGATTTTTTACCTAAACGCGATTTTGTTAACGAAATTTCTTCATTTATCACCTTCTATTATCAGCAGTTAGTTGGAATATACCATAGTGTCAAGAATTAAATTATATACACATAGATGAGCACTGACGCATATCTTCGAAAACTGCGAAGATATTTGCACGAGGAGTCGAATTCTTTTAAATTGAAAATATAAACTATACGGCCTTTCGTTCGCGGTGAGATTACCTGTATCGAGCGGAGGCCGTATTGATTGCATTTTCGGCTCATCAGACTGCCGTCTGTGTCGCGTGGAATCCTCGTCTTGGAAAAAGGTATGCTCGTGCAGAAGTGTCGTTGCGCGGTTTTCCACATACACAAACGAACGCTGTATGCGACAGAGAAAGTAAATGTAGAGACGAATAAGAAACGCGAAATGAAATATAAAAAGGATTTATTTGAAACGTATATGTGTGAGCGTTATACCTATATGTATAGTCTTCTCCTTAATCACAAGAGTTAAGTTCCTTTTTTTCCTTTTTATCGACATCGTACAAACCAAATTACAACTACCTAATTAGCACGATACTTTACAACACGGGAATATTATGCTGCGTACGACCTGTGTTTATCAAAAAACGTTAACGTAAACTGTTTCTTTATCCTTTTTTCTGTAAACGCGGCGAAATCGATTTGGTGCGACACGAAACCTCACGGGATCGTTATTCGAGGCGGAATCATATTAGCCGTATCTTTTATTTCGTTTTTACTTTTCAAATCCTACTAACGCTTTCTTTTCTCTCTCTCTCTCTCTCTCTCTCTCTCTACTCGAGCCCACTAGAGAAATGTCACTGTTCTAAAATACGACACCAAGAGAGAATATTTCGAAATAACGATACCCCGAGACACGTAATTTGCGATTTGTAGCGCTAAAGCAATTAATAACAAACGACGAATTTAATAAATGACAATATTAAACGAGGAGAAAGTGATAAAACTAATTATCTCGTTGAAGTCACATTTTCACAAAAATGACAGGACACAAGTCAACATGCCTGAAGAAATTATTCTTAAAGAGTTGTTGTAGAAAATAAAATGAATGTTACGTCAGCGGGCTCGTGTTTTCACCAGAAAAGAATTTCAATCAGCGATATCGCCGCATCCAGATTCACAGGTGTGTCTCAGTATCAAATTATTACAGCAGCGGTATGCAGCCTAATACTTCGCCGAGGGTCATAGCCCACAGAAAAACGTGGGCGGCGAACGAAGCGACCAATCGCAAGCGAGTATTACCGAGACTGCAATGTGCGAAAGTCTGAGCTGCGACTGGTCGCGACTCGTTTGTCGCTCCTATTTCGCTGATTCCGTTTTTCCGTGTGTTATCGCCCTGAAAGGGTGACCTCCACCGAATTTCGATCGAGTCAATCGACGAGCAGCCGGAAGAATTGTCAATCTCCACATCTGTGCGCTTTGTCGTCCGACGACGATGATCGAAAGACTAACAATTCCTATCTATCTTAGCGGAACGCAGCAGGTAATATTTAGCTGACAAGGCGATGCGAATCGCGTCGATCGGACAGATAGGAGCCCGGTGAAAGTCACCCTTCGTCCGTTTTCACGCAGGATCGTGTCGAGAATCGGTACGACGATCAGGATGACGATCGGCTTTTGCTCGTTCGTCTCACAGACGGATACTCTAACGTGCCCTTTCCGTGCGACAGCGCCGAAATAGCCGCTCGTTACAATGGTTAGTGGATAAGTGAAGTGAGAAAAGGGGGGAGAAAGTCCGCACGAGTAAAGAAAAAAAAATATGCATCAAAGTTGCGATTCGTCCTCATTCTTTTTTCTATTCTCTTCACAAGATAATTGTCAGATGGGCAGCACCAGATTAAGACGCAGCGTATTTTAAAAAGTAAATTTTTCATCGAATTAGACAAAACGAAAAAAAGAGCGAAAGAGAGGGAGGAGGAAAACTCACGATCTGCGAGCACCTCGAGACGCAATTCGGCCATGACTAGATTCTCATGTGCTGGTACATCGAGGTAAAAGCGTGCCGAATCGCTCCATCGCCTCTGTCCGTCGACTTGCGATTCGTCCGAGCCGAAAGCAAGCAAGCAAGCGAGCGAGCAAGGAAGAAAAAAACGAAATAACGAATTAGTACGGAACGGAGATATCCCTCTCTCTCTCTCTCTCTCTCTGAGGAAAAATCAGCGACGTGAATTTCCGCGTCGCGAATGGCCGAGAAATTAAATTCCAGCGGCGCCATCCGCCCATCTGATCGATCTTCCTTTTCTTCTTCGAACTGGACGAAGCGCACTTTCCTTCCTTTTTTTTGCGAACGGATTAATGAAAAAAGGAAAGAAAAAAATGTCCGTGATCTGTTACGATGCACATCTCTCTCTCTCTCTCTCTCTGTTTCTTTCTCGCCATCGAAATAGTCACACCGTGTCGCTGTCGTCCTCTCTCCTTCCAGGAGTGTCAAGATATATATATATATACATACACGTATGTACATATGCACATATATATATACATATTTCGACGGTATATATGTACAAGATTCTTCACATTGTAAAAAATATAACATACTTCGTACTCAATATCAATGCGACGCAGGTGGTATTGAAAGGCCGATATACACATATCTAAATCGTGGTGTTAAACTTGCTCGTTTTCCCGGTGTTTTTTCTCTTTTTTTCTTTTTCATCTTCTTGCAGTTTGTGAGACCGACGTCGACGCACGACGTCGTTTGCATGACAAATGGCGCACGTGTCTCTCTCTCTCTCTGTATTCGCAAATTGTTCACACATACGATATGTCGCATGCATCTTTGTCCGTTTCTTGGCGAGTTTTCGACACATGGTGGAAGATAAGCGATTCCGCGCCGCTCGTTCGCGTACACGTCAGCGGAGTAGAGATGGCCTGGAGGGGGAGAAGAGAAACAATTCCTGGTCTTTAAGTGATGTACACGTGATATGCTGGACCGAGTCGGGCAGCGATACAGAAACGTCGTTTGAACATCGTTGACGAGGAGTACGTAATAGCTGTAGAGGCGTGACGCGATCTCGTCGTCGTCTTCTTCATCCTCCTCCGCCTCCTCCTCCTCGCATCTCTTTCTCGTCCGCCGACGATAGCTCGCCAAATAGAGGATCACGTAAAACGTTAATCGATCCAGGCGCGTTCGCGCGCGATAAAAGTTTGGACGCTGCTTTAGAAAAATAGCATGCGATCTCTCTTCGGGTGAGAGAATGAGAGACGAGCGAGAGACACGTGCAGATCTCTCTCTCTCTCTCTCTTTCTCTCTCCTGTGTGCTCTCTCCTCATACAAATATATAAATAGATCTTCGAGTATATCAAATACTTGGTGAGCTATCTAGGCGGATGACGTTCACGTCCTTTGTGATCCGGACTTCGCGTGTACCTGCTTGACTATGTGTGCACGTGTGTATTTTTTTTCTTTTTATATAAAATTCGGGCGAGAAACACAAGAACGGTAGTGTGAAGCGATTAACCCTTTCCTTACGATGGTTTCACTCTCAGAGTCGAGCGACACTGAATCGACGTGAATGAAAGAAAAAAATATCAACAAGCTAACAAGAACCGAATGTTGCTTTTACAATGAATTATTATATAAATTACATATATTTTGCTGGCATAGCAAATGTCTCAGTCACTATGCGGATAGCAAAAAAGATTCGTTACACGGAAAAAGAAATTTTACTATTGTAACAAAACGTTTAGTTGGCGTAACCAAATTATTTTGCTCTTTATATATCCAGCAAATAGCAATTAATATTCTTAACAAATCTTATTGCTGTCCCAACAAATCTTTTTTGCTACCCCATAGTAACTGACAAATTTGCTATACCAATGAAATATTTGTTCCGTGCGTATTTTACAAGGTAAAGTACACGTGAATAATAAACGTAGAAATCCATAAGATATCAGTCGAAACATTCCGACCGTTTTTGTGGTCATTCTCTTTTTGTGATCACTCTCTCAGCCCGAAATTATTGATACGAAACGAAATGTCAACAGCGAAGTATGTCGTAAAACGCCTGTAATGATGCGTCCGTTGATAAACGCGATTTGGGGCAGGACTTGGGTTGACTATGTTTCTACTCATTACACACAACCGACAATTCCTCTCATATGAATATTTTCGACCGAGACATTTCGATCGATATTTTGTTGATTTGTATCTGCGTGTACCTTACATAGCAAAATACAAGCAAAGTACACCTGCGATCGGCTCTTATCGACCTTACCAATTTACCTGATTTAAAAAAAAGAGTCTCTCTATCATTCGATTGGTCTGTCATAAAATCATTACGTCGGAATTACGACACAAAATACGATAATTATTAAATAAAAAATCGTTAAGACTCTTGTTTCCCCGTCGCAGCCATCTTGATTAATGACGTCAAAAACGATAAAATTCCTACGGAATACGTTGAAACAAGCGGATATTTCCATAAAATGATACTCGATTGATCCACATTTGTAAAATATCTCGAAAATTTTCCTTTTAACGGCTAATATATAGCTGTAGAATTAACGTGACAAAATTATAAGATAGGCTAAAAAGGCAAGTTATATGTCATGTTGATTTTACGGTCATTTGTTGATTATTGTGAGAGTGAAAAAAGTTCCCGGAATGTTTTACAAATATGCTTTCAATCAATCGCACAAGTATCATTTTACGGACCTACCGTTTTATTTGAACGTTTTTCGCAAGAATTTTGGACATTTTCTCGTTTCTGACGTCATTAGTTAAGATGGCTGCGGCGAGGGACAGAAGCCTTAATATCATATATATGTACACGCAATGTGTATGTATGTGTGTACTCGAAATACTCACGCTTACGAGTTCCCCGAGGTTCCCGTAAGGCTTATCAGCGATGACGTCACAGGTATTTCTCGGCCGGCGAAAATTCGCGGCACGTCAGCATTATCGCGATTCGTACGGAAGGGGTTCGAATGATACGACGACCGCGTCTCGAAGATTCTCGGGGGCGCGAAAATGACCCCAAGAGAGAGAGAGAGAGAGAGAGGTTCGCTTCTCGGGAATCCCCATCTTCGCGTGACGTTCGCGGACTCTCTCGTCGTGTTTATTCCAGGTCGGCGTGTGTCTCCCCGACGCACATACACACACGAGAGCTCATCGCCTCACATTCTTCCTTCGTGTCGGTCGGCTAATAGAGACCGCGAGATTAGCGCTCGCGACCGCAAGTATCCGCGCGTTTCCGGCCAATCTGTTTTTTTCACGACGTCCGGAACACGAGCGTCGTGCGCGCATGTGAAAGCGCTCGATTTAAAGAGAAGCGGAAGAAAAGGGGAGAGAGAGAGAGAGAGAGAGAGAGAGAAAGAGAGAGAGAGAGAGAGGCAAGGCCGGCCGAAAATCTCGCGCGCGCGCGAAATCGAGGAGCTTGCAGGGCGTTCTCGTGTTTTAAATCGAAACGCAACGACGAACGAGAGTGCGCTCGTTCGATTCCGTAGAAGATTCACTCGGAGGAAACGACGTCGTCTGTTTGGCATAGCGTTCATTTATTATTCGTGATATCGATATTCTTCTGCTGTTCTCTCTCCCTCTCTCACTCTCCCTGCCTGTCTCTCGGGGTTCGCAAATAAAACTTTGTCTCTTCGTCTATTCTCGCCTGGGAGCCGGAAAAACGAAAAATGTCAAGAGCAATTCAACGGTGAGATAACTGCGAACAGGTTTCACTCATCGCTGCTAATAACGAACTAAAAATAACGTCGCTTACCTATGGTTAAGGCTATATTTAACAAGAGAAAAGAACAAAGTGGAAAGAAAAAAACGGGTATATCACGCGCCACAGAAGCCTCGTAACGCGTAATCGGAAATAAGCTCTTCCGATTGCACCCGTGTTTTCGCGCCGTGTGATGTGCGGACGCCATACCCGATGTGTCCCCGGGTGTCCGCGTGAACGTCACGGGGCCTCCTCAAATCTCTCTTTCAACGGCCGTCTTCCAATTGCAGCGCGCTCTCTCGTCGACCTCACGGAAACTGTCATTAACCGCGCGACGTATCCTCTGGACGTATTTTTAATAATTCTTTTCTCACGATATAAATATCGTCACGTTCGCATAAAAATAACGCGTGCTTTATCATTATCAGCGCCGTTGCTCCATTCAGACTTGCGTAACGGAGAACCTTCAGCGACGTGGCCGACGTGATTTTTCGAAAGCTTCACTCTCGGAAGGGGATCTCTCTGCAACGCCGGTTAATGACTCTTTCCCGCGTCACCGGCAAAATTTCGCACACATCGATTGCACTTCGTTTTATTCTCGTTCTCACCTCCCCACTTCCTCCTCCCAATTTCCACACACCATTTCTATACAATTCCCGCAATTTCTATACAATTCCCGTGACTTCGAGTAAAATAAATAAAATAAAGAATCCTTTCTCTTTCTCTCTCTCTCTCTCTCTCTCTCTCTCTCTCTCTCTCTCTCTCTCTCTCTTTCACATCGGACGAACAAAAGAAAAACAAAGAAATTTGATCGGGAAAACGGTATCGCGCGCATACGAGGAGTTCGAGAGTGGACAAGTACAGTGCACGAGAGTGAGTCGTACAAATTACAAATACGCAAATCGCGTGTCTCGGGGAGAGAACACAGCGCTTTCCGCCGAAGGACACACATACACACACACGGAGGGGATTTTATAGCGAAGATCACTAAAGAATTTCCGAACACGTCGACGCGCGCATTCTGTCCCAATTCATCGTCCTCCCTCTCTCACACGCGCTAATCCATATCTAACTTAAGAAACCGAAGCCGTCCACCGGCTTGAAAGATTCACTGTCCTTCAACGAGATAAAGCCCGGCGACAATCAATCTTTCCGCGCTATCGGGAAACGTAGTACAATTGAGGAGAATCCCGCCAGTGAGTAAAAAAGAACTATAATATTCTCTCTCCGTGCACACCCGAGACAATTCGCACGCGCGATTCTCCCCGGTTCTCTCGTCCCTCACCCTCGCTGGTGACGTTCGTGATTAACGCATCGAAAATTAATGGCATGTCGTGACCGTTATCGGGGTATCGAGTGCGAAGCGATATCTTCTTGATGTCGGTTAATACGACATCCTCATTGAGGGACGGTGAATCTTTCAAGCCGGTGGACGGCTTCAGTTTCTGAAGTTAGATATGGATTAGCGCGTGTGAGAGAGGGAGGACGATGATTTCGATGATTGCACGAGAAATATTACACACACGCACGTACGCACGCACGCACGCACACATGCACGCACACGTGACTTGCTCTCTCGCTCGGTTTCGCGAGAAAGAGCCGTCAGCGCGCTCTTGGTTCTTTCACGTCTATCGATTTTTTTTACATTCGTGAGCTCGACGACAGTCTTTCTTCCTTTCTCTCTCTCTCTCTCTTTTTCTTTCTTATATTCACTCTCTCTCTCTCTCTCTTTCTCGCACACTTTTATAGCGGTATTCCGTTAACCGCGTTAACGACGTCAGTCAGCATTTTACTTGTCAGAAAACATTCGCCAGGGGAGAATCACCACGCGTGTCACGATGCAACATCGTCTCGTGGGTTTGTCATTTTTTTTCGTATAAAATGAAGATAATCCGCCGCGCCACACGGATCGGCGCGATATTTTTCAGTGGATTCAAGCCAACGGACGCGTCGGCGCCGCACGGAACGCCGCCTTCGTTCTCGATCTCGTTCTCGAAAGCGATGGACTTGACACAGCAAGGTGAAAATAGCACACACACACGCGCGCGCGCGCATGATTTCGCAGTTGAAGGGTTTAGTGCGCCTGGCGGAGCCTCGCACGCGAGATTCAGATAGTCTAAGATCGATCTAATCTATCGATTTATTGTGCTCGCCCTATTTATTTCTCTCTTTCTCTCTCTCTCTCTCTCTCTTTCATTAATGTGTAAGATCACTCGTTAAAATTTATCAAGTCAATCCCATAGCAATTGTGCAGTCTTGGCTTATGTATTTGTGTGTGTATATGTGTGTGTGTATATAATACAAACTTCATCGTACAAAGCTTACAAATTACGTTTAGATTGACATTATGCGATACCGTATTGTTGTTGTTACGAAACGCGTGTTTCTTTCTCTTGTCTCTTTCCCCCTGTCCGTTCCTATCTATGTATCTCTCTCTTTCTCTCTCTCTGTCGTGCTCGCTCTCAGTACTCCCACCGTCGAGTCTCCCGTTTGTGCAAAATAGTCCGCGACGGAATGTCATTTTCGCCCGCCTCTCCCGCGCTCGCGAGTATACAAAGGTGGTGGTGGTGGTGGTGGTCGTGCTGCGTCAGCTCGGAAGCTAAACGAAAGGTAAAGTAAAGATACATTAGTAGTGGTTTTCCAAAGCAGATAAACGGAATCACACGGGAAAAATCCTCACAACAGCTATCTATCGGGTTATCTCCGTCGGAATCTCGTCGTTATCGTCGTCGTCGTTATAATCATCATTCGCCGGTAGGTTGCTACACGTAATAAAACTTCGTACTACGTTTCCTCCTCCTCCCCCTCCCT